TTTAGATTTTAGAAAAAAAAGTTTTATATAAAAGTTGTGGGGTTCAACTAAAAGTTTTTTTTTGTGTTATGTTTACGTATACAGGGGGATTCAAAAACATATTACAGATAAAAATATATTTTTTTCCTATGGAATGACCTATATTTTATGCCATTATGTAATAACTCTTTAAACTCTGACTTCAAAAATATATAACACATTATGGATATTTTTAATATATATGGCAGAAAATGCCAAAAACTGAAATTTCACTTAGGCCATGGGTCGTCATTTTTTCATTCGTCGTTTCATTATTTGTTTTGACGTCTTTATTGAGTGATTTTCACAGAAACACATTTGTTGAACTGTTTTATATTTATTATTTACCATATAAACAATAACAATAATTATTAATAAAATTAGGCGTGGACCCATCAACTAAACAGATATTCATACTTGGGCGTGGTTAACTACATTATTTATTTATTTATTGTGTTCGGCCAAATGTAGAAAGTGGCCACCGTTCATTTCTACACATAGTCGATAGCCCTTTTTTAGTTTTTCTATAGCTTGATTAATCCAGTTAGAATGATTGGTATTTATTTCAGTCCTAATTCCTTCTTTTATTATGTTAATGTTTTCTTGCCTAGTAAAATAAATTTTATTTTTTAAATGACCCCATAAAAAAGTATCTAGAACCGTAAGGTCTGGACTATTAGCTGGCCATATCGTTGTTCCGTGTCTTCCATTTCGAAATGAAGATATTTTTCCAGTCAAATGGGGGCAATCAATTTTGTCAGCTTCAAAAACTGCTCTTAAAATTGGTCGTTGTTTATGTGTTATCGAAAATCTATAGATAATAGTTCTTATCCCTTCTTCATCAAACTCATCCACTGTTGTCTTGGGATTTGGTTTATTAATAGTTTTTCGTGGCGAAGTGAATTTCTTGTCGGCTGGTTTCGTTTTACCCTCTTTGTCAATTCTTTGCACCGTCCTCAAAGAAATACCAGTTGCTGCGGTCACTCGCTCTTGTAAATGGCTTAAGGTATAACAGAATCTTCACCATCTTCTTCACGTTTCAACTCGCATTTCAAATATTGGAGAACGTTGTAGACGATCTGCCGCCAAGGCCGGATTAAGCTTTCGTTGGGCCCGGGGCTAATAAAAATTTACGGGCCCTTTGTAGATAAAATGCAAAAAATATTTTAAAAAACTATATTCCTGATGTAACAAAAACACTATTACTACTACACTGAAATTGTTCGGCTGAAATTTTTTCAAAGCGGGGCCCTACTGAATCGCGGGGCCCAGGGCTTCAGCCCCTTTAGCCCCCCCCTTAATCCAGGCTTGTCTGCCGCCCTTGGCTGTGAATGACTTCTTTTTTGTCGTTATTCATTTCGTATAACAAATATAATATAAGAAATATAATATTATAACAAATATAATAATAGAACAAATATAACAAATATAATATTATAACAAAATTTAATATAATATTATAACAAATATAATATTAGTTATAACAAATATGATAGGTATGACAAATATGATATAACAAATATAATAGAATTTTTAGCCTATAATAGTTATTTACGTGTCAAGCTTTGTAAATGAATCTTTACGGGCGAGCTGAAAGTTTGTGGGGTGAGCGACGCACGAGCGAACCCCATAATACAGTGAGCCTAGTAAAGATTAATTGCAAAGCGTGACACGTACAAACTTTTATTTTCACCTTTAGATAAAGAATTTCAAATTTAAAATTTTAATTAATATGTCAAATGTGACATTTCATTTCATAAATAAATATGTTTAAATATGTCAATAAATATCAGCTGATGCTAGCATACTATGTTTTTAGGACGGCGAGTAATAGCGCGATTTGACGGATTTGTGACGTTTGCGCGACCAAGGTCACCCGCCATGAGATATTAATAGCACTAATAACACTATGATAGTTCGAATTACTAACATTGAGTACCTACGCCCACCTATATTACCTAACTTTGGGCTGCTGATTTCAAAAATACCACTCGTTTTGCTCCAGGACGTCTAATATTCGAAATAATTGCGTAATAAAATGCTCTACAATTATATCAAAATGTAAGTTTTTCGTTAATATTTTGATATTTATTAAATTATTTTGCCTTAAATCTATTTTCAATGTTATATATATTTTTGACGTTTTTTGTCAAAAATATATAGGGACTCCATACAAAGTCATCTGTACATAAAAGTCAAATAGAAACATGTTTGTTCCATTGTAGCCGTATACTATACCTAGTAGGTAGTATTAAATACCAAAACTAAAATTATAATGTTTTTTTGGTTAAAAAGTATACTTTTGTGAAATTTTTGTTTCGTTTTTTTAATTTCCTGCTAATTAAATTGAAAAGGCAACAAAGTAAATTGGTTTCGGTATAAACATTACTCTTCGACTATTATTCATTTTCCAATCTTATTTATTAGGTCTTATAAAAATTTAATATCAAATTGAAGTATAAAAGCGCCTTTATCTACTTTATCGTTTAAGCATATTAAAGTGCATCTATTTATTTTTGACATTTAAAATTTAAACTTTAAATTGTATTTTTACTTGAAAGTGATTTTAAGAATCAAAAATGAAAAAAGAGCAGGAAATGGAAGTGGTCCATTACCAGAGAAAGAGAAAGAGACGAACCTTCATGCTGTCCTTGTAAATTTATTTTGTTTTTGTTGCGGTACCTTTACGCCCAAGAAAAACCAACGCAATATTTTATTACAAAATCTTATGAGATACCTATAATATATCTCATAAAATTTTGTAATAAAATATTGCGCTGGTTTATAATCTTCTAAACCCAATCATTACATTTTTATAAAAATAATAATGAATATAAAACCAAAAACGCACAACTGTACAAACAGTTGCCTATAACTAAAAGCCTAAAGTTGTAATTAAGTAATAATATTTAATTAGGGATATTTTAATATTACAAAAAGAAAATCAAAGAATTCGCCAAGACAAGTGATATTTTTCAGAGAATACTAAGGGTGGGTCACCACCCTACAGTACGTTAATTCAACTTGTGTTTTCTTATTTCTACGTCAATGAAAGAAAAAGGCTTAAACTATAAAATCCAGATTGCTTAACTTATTTACACAAAGTTTATTGTAAATTTTGTATTTTGGATAGATATAAATCATACTTTTAATATGTACAATGCATACATAGTACATAAAATGCATACATAGTATATATGTACATAGTACATGTACAGTTTTTTTAAAATTTCATTAAAATTATTTTATACAGGGTGTTGCACATTTACGAAATATATCAAGTGGTGTTTTTTAGGTTATGATACCACTATAGATTTTGAATCAATGTAAAATCGTCAAACTAAAAAACCAAGATTTTTTTCCACCATATATTGAATGTAAGATAAATAAAAATCTGTTATTTTATTTAAAAAAAAATTAAAAATAGAATTTTTTTTTATAAAAAAATATTTTTTTTTTAATATAATTTTTGTATTATTTAAAACATCAAACAACAAAACAACAAAATAGATTGGCTGTATAAAAAATATTAATGACGTGATTTCGTAAAACGGTAAGACACGGATACGTTTTTTTTAACCTATTTTCAAAATCTGTTGGGAGGGTTGTGTTATAGGTAGATAAAGTAGATAACCCTATTTAAAAAATTCCTATTCTTTCGCTTTTTGTAAAAGAGTTGTTATTGTTATTTTACGTTTATAAATATTTTTTTTAATAAATAAAAATATCATGTCACCTGATGTTTTATTTTATATTTTCAATATAAAAACATGTAAAAAAATATGTGAAATCAGGAGGTCCAGTAAAGATTTTCGCGGGGGGGGGGGAAATTTGTCGCTACGCCAGTGTCTGTATTATGCTTGTTATAGAGTAATAATTATAATTATTAAATACTGCTCTTAAATAATCTGAAATCAGAAAAATTTCTCTTGAATATTATGAATAAAACAATATTTTCTGTTTGTGCTGCCGTTTAGCACACTCGCCTGTTCTTTTCTTTCTCATCTAAAATTTTTAGTATTATAAATTAGGATTGAAGTCAAAAATATTTTAATTGGTTTTACATGTAACAACGCGTCATGTATTTTTTTTATAAAGGGCTTAATTTGTGTGCAACTCTTCGCTAGTTTTTGAAACTACCCAGGTCTTACCACGTAGTCTTTTTTGGATTCAAAACTTGGGCATATTTTCCTATCCAATATGCGTGTCCGCACAATTTCGTCCCGCTTTGTTTCATCACAAACTTGTTTAGACGCTGCTGTAATTTCTTTAACACGTCTTTCTACTGCTTGATAGGAAAATATGCTCAAGTTTTGAATGTGCAACTACCTCCACGTGGTGAGTCCTGGGTAGTTTTAAAAACTAGCGAAGAGTTGCACAAAAACTGACGAATTTTTATAAAATTACTTAAAAATAAGCTCAATTGAGCAGACTCAGAGCGTTATTTTTTTATGTGATTTTTATATGATGTAACATAGCTCTTAAAGCAGCATCTAAGCCGTACCTATACTTGGTATATCAACTTGGCATTATTATTTTTTTGTCAAAAAACAAGTTTTTACAAGTAAGTAAGTAAACCCACAACTTTTGAAACCTACCCCGCGGGGCCCCTTTGCCGTAGCTCAAAATTGACTTTTTTCGGCCCACCCTTTGTATTATTTTTAGAAAATAAGACAATCGGGCCAATTTACTAACACGAGTCGTTAACGTTAGTCACTGGAATTAGTGGTTAGTGAATTGGCCTGATTATTAGTGTTATACTGACAGATAATTAATTATTTGTATTTGTATACTTTTGGCTATGGAGCATCGTATTTTAACGGTAAAAATATATAGATCAAACATTTTAAGTAAGTAAGTGAATCATCTTTAAAAGTTAATTTACTTAATAAATAAATAATAAACAACTTAATAAATAAAGTGCGTGCGTAACGCAATGCGTTTAGCGAACTTTGGACATACGGTATATATTCTGTTTAATAACACACTAAGCAACTTTGTATTAAGGTAATTTTACTGGCCCATTATAACAAACCTTCATAAAGAAAACAGCCAGCCGTTACTGCTACCAGTGACCCAAGAATACCATTGATTATATCTATTGGGTCAATTTTTCCGTTTAACTTTATAATTGTAAAAATTATACTGACTGTTCCTCCTCCAAAGGTGGACAACATCGTCATTACTGCTGCGCGAGCTGCGTAGTGCCATTTTTCACCGTTTAACTAAAAATATGGACAATATTAAAGCACAATTTTATTGCAATTTTACCCAGAATGTCTTAATAAAATACCACATATTATTTTTCTAAAATTTGCTATGTCACCTTAAAAATATGCATAAAGCAATAATTGAATGGGCCATTTGTCTGATTACCGAAAATCTTCATATACTTATCGACCATCTATTAATTAATTGTACTCGTTTAGCATGTTTAACAAATCTACATTCAAAATTTTCCTGTTAACTCAAAACATTAGGGAAATTCTTTGCTCAATATTTTTATTTACTGTAATGAATTTACTTATTGCTCTTAAATTGTTACTAGATATAATGCCGGTATAATTACAGAAGGAAAAAAATTATAAAATCTTTTACGCTGGGTTTTTATAAAAAACATTTCAAAAATTTTGTTGACTTATATATTCGCATTGACTTAAAACAGGTGCAAAAGTCATTAACGAACCAATCTGATCTTAAAAATTCAACAGTAGTGTACTTACTCCATACGTACTTCCAGAATTAAATGACAACCATCCCCACCATAATACAAATAAACCCATAACAGCATTAACGGGGTTTCCCAATGGTAAAGAAGCAATGCCATTATCGTATCTTCCAAGCCTTGGTCCTAACATTAACGCGCTTGAAAAAGCTGCACTCCCACCTTTAAAAATAAAATAATAGAAAGGGATTAGTAAATTGATTAAATTTTTTGAAACATTTTTAACAGGAATATTTAATTTAAATAAATTATCTTGTACTTTGGTCAGATTCACATTCCAGTAACAAAACAATTTGCTTATGATACCTACCTATTATATTATAATAAAATAAACATTTTGAAATCTAATCTGTATAAATATCTAACAAACCACATCAATTGTACTACCAGATTTCGTGGGGAGATCAAATTTTTAGAGCCACAATACAAAATTGTAATTTTTGGTTTTGTAAAAAAACTAAACCAGTTTAATTATAAAACATTTTTAAACAAATTGTTTAATTTTCCAAGGTGGCTCTTATAATTTAATTACCCACTATAATCCTTATTAATTTTTAAGTTAAATTCACCATTGAAAAAAATCTATCAACGGTTGTGCTTCCGCTAGAATAAAATTAACATTGAAATCTGCACTTAAGATGATGGGCAATTTAGAAATCACAGTTAATTCGCAAAATGTATTAAGTGGTCTAAAAATAAAACTATTTTTTATCAACACTTGATTATGACCTAGGCCCATCATTGGCGGCCCGTCAGGGGAGGCAGGTGAGGCAGTGCCTCATCATAGAGAATTTAAAAATTAAGTATAATTTAATTATTTTACTTTCTATAATATACTATAAATTTTTAATATTTGGATTACATGAATTGTGAAATAGTCAATAAAATTGATTGATTTTATACGTGGAATACCCAGCAACATTTAAATTATTTGAATTTGAAACGACCGCATTTAAACTAATATTTATTTTGAATTAGGTACGTCTTTTCGAAAATTGGTACTGGAAAACAGCTTTTAAGTGGTAAAATTATTTAATTTATTATTGTATAAAATTTTATTGAACAATATTTTTATGATTTGAAAAATTTCAAAATAACTTGCCATTATAAATTTTATTTTTTACGGCAAAAAATATTTTTGTAAATGAGCAAACAATTGGTTATTTAAAAATTAAATTGTATTATGATAAAAATTATTAAAAAATACTTTCCCAAAATTTTGACAGAATGTAAAAAATGCAATATTACACAGGAATCTCATATTCGCGTCACTGGCGTCATTCAAGTCATTGGAGTCACTGTTCGCGATTCCCAGTACTAACCACTATGTTGTTAATGTATACCAACCAACCTATAGGTTGGTTGGTATACTAACCAACCCACATTACCAACAAAAATGACTAAATTTTTTTCAAATACGACAACCCCAATTTTACAAAAACTCATGTTTGGTACAATTTGAAAATTTACTTCCATTAAAAATAAGAAATTAGATGAAATAGGTAAAATAAAATTAGGGTCAAATGAAATCTTTTTTTCAAAATGGATTTTATTCCATTGCACCTTAAGTTATGATTAGCTTAGATAAATAGGTAATAAAACTAAAATCCCATCTCTATTGATGACTTAGAAATTGTAATAAAGTATATTTTTAACACTTTTTAATATTGTCATTTGAAATTTCGTGCTTCCAACTGAGGTAACACAACACATGTATGAAGTTTTATAAACGCCATTTAAGTTACGAGTTTTATTAGACAAGAGCAGCTTGCGAGCGAGTGTTTAATATAAACGAGTGTCTAGAGAAGTTTATAAAACGAGTTGCGTACTATCTACTATCTACTTTATCTACGACGAACACAAAGAAAAATTTAACGATAATTTTAGTTTCTAAATATTTAACATTAGGCGAAAAAACCGCACTTTGTGACAATTTATAATGTAAAACCGTAAATAAAACGCCATAAAGTCATAGTTTGTGTCAATGTGGAAGAAGATAATAGTATATTTTGTGACAAGTGTGGAATACGGCTTATTCCGCTTGAGTGAAAAGGCGTTTGACGGTTTCACGAGTGGGGAATGTGCATTTCCAAATGTCTTTCAGACTATACTTTTTCTAAGTTTCCAAAAAATACCATAGCAAAATAATTTCATTGGAAAAGAGTGAGTATAGAGGTAGAAAAAAGTCTTTAAGTAATTCGACAAATGTAAACGAAGGACCGAGCAAAGTACAATATATTTTAAAGTATAAGATGTTTGGTTTAACTTGATTGTTTACATTAAACAGGTAAATATTTAATAACGTATATATGGTACTGATTTTACCTATTAAGTGGACAGCTCCTGACCCAGCTATATCAACGGCACCTAAATTTTTCAGAAAACCGTGGTCGCCCCATATCCATCCTGCAGGTATACAGTAGATTGCAGTATTTAAGAAACTGAATAGGCAATATGCTTTAAAATTACATCTGAAATAAAACATTTACTGAAACACTTTATTTATTTATTTATATTTTTCTTAAAATAAAATGGTTTTCTAAGGAGTAATTGTTAAAACTGCATAAACAAGGCAATTTTATGTATTGTAAATGTTGTATTTTTAGTCCTTTGTTCTCTAATTTATATACAATACCTTTGGTCTCCGATTTCTTTTATGTATAGCAACGATTTCTTTACGCTGCACAGTGGTCGGAATTCCAAAAAAACTGGGCTAAACTTCTAAAAGGTTCTATCATTACCAAAATTGGGGTTCTTATGTTGTCGAGGTCGATAAAACAGGATTTGCAGTAAAAAACACACAAAATGGATCACGTTGTTGAATCTAATAAGGTTTTTAAGTTATTTTGTTATAAATAACGTTCATATATTTTTTTTATTTCTAACGATATCATCTTTGTATACTAATTATTATCTTAGTTATTTGCATCGTCAGTATCTTTTATGGAACCATCGGAGTATAGAAATATCGTCAAAGCTTCGGATAAGAAGCTTTTCATTTTTTTTTTAACTGTTTCCGAAACTTGAAATGTATGGATTAGATGTGATTATCATGCGTTGGAAAACTTCTTTTATTGTTTTGTCTTTTGCACAGTTTTTCCTTTAAAATTATTAAAATTTTTTGTGCACGCCATTTCTTTTGTACTTGATACAGGAATTATTACAAAAACGATTTACAAGCGAATATTACAATAAAATATTGCAAAAACTCGTCGTAGGAAATATAGAAATTTGACTTTATTTTCCGTATTTTTCAACTTCCTTCAGTACAGGATATCTTGGGATCACAACATTTTGATAGTGTGATTGAAAATTGACAAAAATGTCAGGGTTTTTCTTAAATAAATATATTCGACATACCTCAAAGAATACCCTCCATTTCGACGATTTGCACTTTGGTAAAAATTTGCAAGAAATTTTAATACACTGTGTTTTGACGTGTCAGTTAAAAGTCTTATGAGTTACTGTAGCGCGGCATAGGTACTTTCGACAGTTATACGTCTTTGTCCTTTTTTAAACTATACAGTGACCCTCTCTCTAGGATATTCTGTAGTATCAACTTATACCCACGGCTTAAATTTATAATTTTGTCCAGACTTTGGAATTCCGACCACTGTGCGCTGCCTTCGCAGACATTTTCCAATCAAGTGGAAATAATTGAATCGCATTGAAGTGTAAATAAAAAAGCGATATAAGGAAATTGTCTCCCTTTCTAACTGCTTTTGTATAAAAAATTCGAGTAATTATAAATTATTTTTTATACCTCTCTGCCATTGCTCCGCTTACAATAGTGGTGGCTGTGGTAGCAAACGACAATTGAAAGATGAAGGCAGCGTACACAGCACCCTTTGATGGTTCGTCTAAGGAAGGATCTACGAAATAATCACCGATTCCCATAAATCCAGTGGTTCCTTTACTTCGACCGAAGGACATGCCGAAACCAAACATCCAGTAGGTCAAACCTAACAAGATGTAAAATTTATTTTCATAATATAATAATATTCATAAATATATGTGTAATTTTTTTTTTACCCAAAAATAATGATTCCAAGAATTTTTTACACAAAAAGGTATTTCAAAAAGCATTAAGAAACCTATGGTTAACATTAAAATAATTGTCATTGACGTTTTTGTCATTTTTTGGAGTAATCAAGTGCAAAGTACTATGTAGTACTAGTAGGTCACCTTTGGACGGACATATAAGTACGCTATGAACTTTTTTTATTATATCATATGAAGAATATGCCCTTTAAATATACGGAGTTTTCGGGCATCCTGGATTTTTTAATATTAGAGTAGTAGATCGATATCGTTTTTTATTTAACTTGGAAATTTCTTAGAATATGCCAAACTAAAAAAAACAAAATAAAAATCCCAACCCTTAATTTCAATTTGAAGAGGTTCCTTAATGAGTTTAAATATTTTTCATTCAAATAACACAAGAAAATTTATATTTAATTATGTTTCCTTGCAATTTAAATAACTGGTTCATCCGTAAGTAGCATTAAATTCTCTTTAAAAAATGTTAATTAGTTAGGTTTCTACTTAATTTTTGGTTTGAGAAATTTCGTGGCCATTTTTTTATATTTTAATGTTTTGTGAATTTTTGAATTATTTGAGGTTTTTAACTATATTAGGGTAGTCCAAAAAATAAAAGTTTTAAATATTTTTCCCCAAGTTTTTTTATCCTATGACATAAATCACGGCGTTCTAGAGAACGCCGTGCATAAATGTATACAATCTTTATTTTGAATCGGATAACATTGAGTCGCCCATAATTAAACGTATATATTATTATTAGTATTGTGGAGTACTGTTGTGTTGTTTGGTAACCTTTTCATTTTACTGATAGTAAAAAACTCAAAAGAGTTGAAAATAAATATTTACGCTTGTGTGCTTACAAACCTATTCCTTTGGTTTGGTTAGAAGTGTTATAAATTTAAATTTACCAAGTTGTAGGTGAACCAAATTTGGTTTAGTATTTCTTTATAAATTATCAAACAATAATATTAATTGCCAAGACCTACTTAGCGGCCATTTCAGGCGCGAGAAACGCACAAATTAAAAAACTGTTTTTATAAAAAAAATTGTAGATCATTTGTTATATAATATTATGGCATCAAAATTGTCAAAAATATTCTTCTTTCATTAAATAAAAAAAAACGCAAGAAATATTTTATAAAAGTAGAGATAATTTTCATAATTAAATGGTGAGGACAGGACAAAAAAAGATTTATTTTGTCCCGTCCACACCTGTCAATTATTAAAATTATCTCTACTTTTATAAAATAGTTCTTGCGTTTTTTTATTTAATGTATAGCCTAAATAAATTTATTGAGAAGAATATTTTTGAGAATTTTGATGCCAAAATATTATATAATAAATTACCTACAATTTTTTTTATAAAAACATTTTTGTGATTTGTCCCGTCCGCATGCTTGATTTTAATGGTCCTTTAAGAAATACCAGGAAAGCAACTTTATTTAAATATTAAAAAAGTATAGGATCTATACATTCTATATGGTCAATATCTTATAGATTTGGATTAAGAAAGATTTCTTTGATTGTTCTTCTGGGCTGTTTTAAAAAAAATTAAACAAATACCCTGTTTTAAAAATTAACTAATTGTAGAAACTGTAAATAAAGCTATAATTATTATATAACCTAAATCGGAAAAATATATCTAATTCAATCAAGCATATAGGTGAAATGTTAAAAATACTCATCCACAAATTATTTTAAAATTACCAATGGTTTATGTTTAGTTCATAAAATTTGGTTTTTGCCAAGAATGTAAATTGAATATTTTTTTAAAATTAAGTATGAAGTGTTTTTTTTAGATATTAAGTTTAATGAAAAAATAAATATTATACAAGTAACAAAGCCTCATAATGTACGTAATGTACACTAATTCGATATAATTTTTGTTAACTGGGTAACAGAAAATAATCTAATCTAATTAAAAAAATTTTGTGTACAATTATTGTAGTATATTAAGTATCAAGAACAGTAAGGACAGTTTAGATCGACGCCAATATTTGAGGACATCTGTAAACTCCTTATTGTTAGAGATGCTTATACTGCTTTTTGTACGACTATTAAACGCAGACATTTAACAAATTATTTTGTATTTTATTTTAAAAATGTTTTAAATTTATTGTTATTGATTAAGTATATTTCTTAATGTAACGTTAGTTTCCAACGCGCATAAAAAACTGTTAGAAATTATATTTTACTACTAAAAAACTCTAGCAACCAGTAAACACAACCTACCGATGTGTAAATAGATACGCTAAATCATTCAAAATAGTAGGGCCGCACAAAAAATCTATTACAAATTACAAAATCTGTAGCCATACAAACTTTTTAATAATTTTAAAATAAAATAGATTAATATTATTGCTACTACCTCCCAATACAATATCAACAACATTTTTCATCATGATATTAACTTCATTTTTTAAAGAAACACATCCTGATTCCAGCATACCAAAACCTATAATTAAAATTATTATATAAAAATTCTTATTATTTTATTAAATACAAACCAGTTTGCATGGTAAAAATCATGAAAGAACTAGTAATAATCCAGTTGGCATCATCAGGATTAATATCATACAACCACGGTATCTTGGTAACATTATTTGAAGTTTCTCCAAAATTTTGATCCATCTTTTTCGACAATCTAACACAATTGTTTAAGCAAATAGTACAGTAAACGTGTCAGTGCTGTCGTGATTTGTTCCAATTTAAACCAAAACAGCTTAATATTATATTGTAGAATCAAAAGCACGCATACTAAAATATTTATGTTTGTTCAAGGTCAAACACTAATCTGATGTAATTTAAATATTTTTAAATTTTTAAGTAACTACAATTAAATAAAAACATCTTTCTGATGGGCCATTTTGAAACGTTTATTTTTTTATTTTTACATTAAAAAAATTTATGTTTTTGTCTATAAGATAATACAGCCGTCCTGATAAAGAAAGTGGTATATACCAGGACGGGTATTTTTGGTTTAATAAATAAAGCTCGTACCTATTAAGTACCTATGATATTTTTTTAAATTAATATTACCAGTTTAGACCAAATAAAACCTACTCGTTTACTCGCAAAAAATATATTCTCCAACAAAAGTAAGTACACGGAAAAAAAGCTGCACTATATTAAAGAATAGTAGCGATTGCCCAAAAATATACTCGTTTTACTATTTCACAAGTAAACATAATATTTTATTCTAATATAGCCCTATTTTTAAGAAATTAGGTGGGTTTCACTTATATTCAGAATACGCTAGTGTTGAATTTGACAATAACCTAAAAATTGTTTTAAGATTAAGCTAGATTTTATGAAGTATTCTTATTCTTATTTAAAAAGCTACTTATCATTATTGAGAAAACTACAATTTATTTCCAAATATTTCTTATACTTATTTCAACTACTAATACTATATACTATAGTATACTCTAGGGAATTTTTTATTTTTCATTTAAAAATATTCCAAGTAGCATTTTTAGTGGATAAAACGTGTTGGCCACATACTTGGAACTGTAAAGTGTATTGCCAAAATCTCTGCCACGTCGTAGAAACGGTTCTATTACGTGGAAGTGATTAAAATGGGAAACACTTTTTTTAGTTACGTTCACACATGTATTTTCCTACAATGGCGATTATTTGTAAACATGCCTGCTTTTGAAGAAGAGAACTTTAAAGTGGTAATCCTATACGAAACGTGGAAATCACTTAAGCAAGAACGTTCTCATTAGGCTGCTATTTCACTTATCCCATGGTATACCATGGGATAGCATGATATCCCCGATATAATAGCCAGTTCTTATGTAAAATTGTCCGCATAATCCGAAAATGTCGTCAAAAGTTATAAAAGTAAAACAGTTTTTAAGATACAGTCAATTTTCCATATAATATGGAAATGACTTTATCTCAAAAAGTGCTTTACTTTTATAATTTTTGACAGTATTTTCGGATTCAGGGAACAATTTTACATAAGAATTCGATATAATATCGGGGATGCGAAAAAGCAGCCACTAATAACTGTAGTAATTAATCATTTTTGACTAATTCATTTTTAGAGATTGGCAATCACCACCGCAATTATTTAGGTAATCAAGTTCTGCCACATTCAAGATTTGATAAAAGTTCCGAAAACGTTGCCAAAACTGATATACCCACTTTACTAGTAGTACCACTTCAAAGTAATACTTAAGTGATGTGATTTGGTTGTCGTTACTATTTATAATCCACTTTAATGTTTAGACAACTTTAAGCTTGTGGCAAAAGTGGTCATATCCAAAGATATTATCTTTGGTCATAACGTTTCAGATACCTGACTAATACACCAAAAAATTATAAAACTATGAAGATATTATCTTTGGTCATAACGTTTCAGATACCTCACTATAGAGTATTAAATACACCAAAAAATTATAAAACTATGAAGTAGGTATATTCTGCTGGTGCAAATCACATTATTATAACTATGCTAATATAATATAAAGTTATTTCAACTGTATCGTGGTAGATTTACTTATTTTAACGTAATTTCCACTAATTTGAAGTGCCGATATCAGTTTTCGTCACTATAATGCTGCTTGGGATTGTAGCTTCAATGTAAACAATACTTGATTTACTGAAAATAGTTTACATTTAATTTGATTCAGTGGTGGCTCGTGGGTGTACAGGAGGGTGAGGCTACATAAGGTTAATTTTATCTAAATACGAATAAATTTCCACGTCACCCGGGAGGTATTATTCTACGACTCGTTGACCTTTTTTAAAATGGAGCCGATAGCACTACTAAACCAAAAAATAAACTCTAAAAAACAAAACAAACAAAATATCACATCAAAGACTAGTTTTAATCTTAAACTTAAAATATAGTCTTAAAAAAGTTAAAAATAAATAAATTAATCAAAAAATAAAAATAAAACTAAAAAGTCGACCCCTACCTAAGTATTAAAAAATATAAAATACTATACGTCTATCTTTTAAGATTGAAAATTTATCTATTATTTGGTCGTAAAATTGTGGGTCTGCAGTGAGATTTAAAAGTAATTCTAAATTTTCAAACCGCGTCTCTAATTGAAGAATTATGCAATCTATTATTTCAAAATATAAAATTTGCTTAATAAAAACTGCTAAATCTACCTTAGTGTGTTCCCTACAATAATTAAATAAGAAATTTTACCAATCGAGACAAAAACTATAAAAGATCAGCCAAAAGTTTTAAATAATTTAATCTGAATCAAAACAATAACGTGCTCTACAAACGCTAAGAGAAGACTGGCAACCTTCTTTGCCTCCTCTGGCATCCCACCATAAACGGACCACCAATCAGAACAAACCAAGCCAACTAAATTTCGCCTCATCTACGGTGTTTATTCGCGAACTTACGGCGATATTTTTGTTGGTGAGTCATTTTCGCTTTCAAGAGGTAAATGGGAGCTTCCGAGGCTGTGAAAATTTCGCCTCTGTCCAAGCGACTCAACGATGCACGTTAACGTGACGCGCTTTGCGCCTGGATTTTTATTTACGCTTAATATGATTGATTGGTTTTTTACTTTTTATTGGGTAGAACTGTTGTAAAAATACACTTGTAATAGGCAAAAATATAAATACAAAAAGTCGTTCGTTCCTTTATTTTAAGGGTGAGGCGCGGCCTCAGAGGCCTACCCTGACGAGCCGCCACTGATTTGATTTAAATTTCCGGTTTTACTTGCTTTAAGTAGTAGGTGGTTCCCTTTAAGTATACCGGGGTAAAATTTATTTTAAATAAAATGTAATTAATTTTTTATTAAAATGTAAAAAAACTTTAATTAGTATTTACACTGTATATGTGAAATAAGGTAGGTATTTACAAAAAAACAAAACATTTATAGAAATACATTCATATATTTATTTTAGTAAAACCAACCAAAGTGTTAACTCTATTGAGGCAGTAGGTATTGCATCACATTTTCGATTCGAAATAAGCGTTCTAGCGTTGCGTGAGAATTAGCAAAAGATGGCCCCAAACCGTTTGCAACAAGACTTTCAGATCGAAACGCGCAGTTGCTCAATCCACTAAACCAGCTTCAAACCATCAGAAATTTGATAAATTGAAAACATATTTATAACAAAAGTGATTACTTGATTTTTTAAAAATAATTAAAGTTATTGTTTTTAATAGCTTTAAAGTTTTTAAAAGTTTTACGACAAACTAAAATTCAATAATAATATTTATAATATTAAATCGTAAGATCTAAAATCCATAATACAAGAAGTAAATATCCGAATTGTAATACTGTAAATTACAGTCTGTAATGCTATTGTTCTTTTTTATTCCGTATGGAATACCACAGAAACTCCAAACGTTATAAAATTATATATTTTACACTTTTTTGTTTTTATTTTAACTTTATAGTAAGCATTAATGTAGCCTATTTTTTTATATATAAGGATTAGTGTAAAACTAGGTCTAAATTATTTATCCTAAGCCTTGTCAACACCGTATAAGTCACAAAGATGAAGTATGTATAAGTTTGGTTTGCATATTATGAAAGTTTCGTCTCTGGTCAGCCATAAATTAAACGAAAAACTAATTACGCCATTTAAAGCCTTAATAAAATCCTGGATGTAGAAGGGCAGCAAAAGGTGAGCGGGCCCTTTTGCAAAACTTCCAAATCTGCGAGGATAAAATATATGTTTGGAATATTAAATTATTGGTCAAAGTTTTGGTCACGAATATTGAAGCTTAACAAAACCTTTCTATAATATACAAAAGAATTTGTAATACTGTTATAATTATTTCCATAATATCTTTGTTTGGAGTGCAAAGAAAAGCTGTAAGAATCCTATCTGAGCTTTGCTTATAGGGATGACTGTTATGTACAAATTATACATTTTTGCTAATTTCAAATATATATATGAAACAAAATACTTCATATCACATAAAAACATACATGGGTATAATACGCGAAATAAAGAAAAGTATGTCTCATCTGTTGGAGCGCTTGGAGAGATGTCAAAATGGTCCATCATACTGGGTAATTAAATTTGTTTTTCTACTTCCACCTTTAAAACGCCCATTATCGTATGTTTACATGACACTAAGTGATCTTTTAAATACACATTGACAAGCTTTGGCTTTATGGAGCTTTAGTCACGGGCTGAAGTCAGCAACAGGGTTTTAGTCACGGGATGAACTTAGCTTTAAGTTAGTGGACAGTTGTCAAATGTTATACAATCGTTAAAATAAAGTGCCCTTCTTGTGAAATAATACTAAATGTAAAAATAAGAAAATACAAAAATTTAAGATTTAGATTTAAATTTTAATTTATAATGGTCCATTACGATAGGTTAGGTTATGATATGATATGTTAAAAATAAAACTGAAAAAAATAAAAAATAGTGACTCAGGCAGCGAGCTGGAAGATCCATTTTTTAAATCGAGCTCTTTAAGAACACTTCGAGATGAGTTGTTCAATACTTTCAACGCATTTTTTAAAACCAATGATACCAGAATTTATATTCTCCAGCCTTTCTAAAAGAAAATGTTTGAGCTTTTCCTGTCGAAATTATCATTATCATTAGGTACTTCAACATGTGATTTGAAGATACGATATTGGCTTGGGCTTCAATGAAGGGAATGGTTCGAATTTCCTAAATTTGAT